TCAAGCTGTCCCCAACATAGCCCACAGGCAGAGCAAGAGAGAGAGCGACAGGCAGAGAGTGAAAATAGCATAGGGAAGAGGAGGAGGAGGGATGGAGGGAGAAGAGAGAGTTGTACCAACCTATCGTCAACCTTCCGGACCCCCGCTGCCTCTGTAATCTAGCTCAGATCAGTCTCAATTAATTTCAGCATTCGTTGACAGTGCCAATTACAACACAATGGCAAATAGACCATGAAATGGAACGTCGAACACTTTGCGTCCTAACTTGACATTTGACTGCGGTTTTACATCAACGACTCCTAAATAAGAACAGATCTGTTTTTGAACATATTTTTGAAGCATATTTTCGGAGTGTTTGCTGTGTTTGGCTCGTAGCGGTGCTGCATTTAAACCACACATTTTTCATTGTGTTGGCCCTTCACTAGAGTGTGTCTTGCAGGTTTTATGTGGGCTCCGAGGTTTTCGTTTTTGAGAAGTCTTATTAAGCTCAGAGCCTCGGACAGTGGCAAAAATGCAGTTAAACGAGCTCAGAATTCTATTGCTTTCCTTCTTTATTGTCTGCTGTTGTTAGCCGCACTTACGAGGCCTATGGGAATTGACTTCAAATAGGAAAGAAATGAAATGTATTTTGCTAATATATTTGAAATGTATTTGCTAATATATTTGAAATTTATTTTGCTAATAGATATTTTCATTTAAATGCTCTGTTTGGAAGTTTGTCGTTGTGGATGTGTTGTTTAAAAAACAGCAAATCAGAGACTTCCATTCCAGTGCAGACTTTCAAGAACCCATGAAATTGTTTGAAAAGTGCTGTGTTGACATTTCATGTTGTAACAAGATGTTGGCGACATACCAAATGGCTTTTCCCATTTCATATAGTCAGTGGACAAACCACAAAACATTGAAGGCATTTCCTTTTTGCCATTTGCTTTCAAACCAATTGATATTTTGGAAAGGAAATAAAGAGTTAGTGTTAATATGAGCAAAGGGGCATAATGAACCATGATTCCATAGTTTTCATGCTTCACAATTTTTCTAAAATATGTCAAATATTTTTTGATTTCATGTGGTTTTTCAGGATGTGTTTAGCTCCCATGCTGCACTGCTGCAGTACAGACTGCATGAACACTGTTGGTCTCATTCGGAGGCCTAATCAGCTCCTTACTCTTCCTCCTTCACTGTATCTGAGGAGTGTGTGTCTAACTAAAGCAGATGGCTCTCCTGTTCCACTGAGGCCATTGGCTGTTTTAATAAGCTTAACATGCTATATTGATCTGCAGCCAAGATCAATTGGCGAAGTGTTTGGCTTTGAAATTAACACCACACCAGAAAAAAAGCAAGAAATTGCTGAGATGGGTTCCCAAGTTAATCCATCCAATATGACTGTAATACCAAGTGTTTTAGAGGAATTAAATATGTTGGACTGACCATCATTATGCCAATCTCTTCATATTTACTCTTGTCGGCATCCTTTACTGTTGAAATGATGGAGAGAAAGCCAGGGATATAAAAAAATTATATATATTTAAATGTTTATGAATATTATGAATATATTATTAATAATAATGAAATTCATGTTAAATTTTAAAATGTGCAAATTTTATAATAAAATAAAATTACTATATAATAATGTTAAATGTTTTATTTTATTTTTATTAACTGTTTTTAATCATTTACTGTTGTTTTCTTCAAACTTCAATCAAATGGATATGTGCTTCTTCAGTCAACAATAAATATAACCATATTATATTATATTATTAATAAAGCTATATAATATAATATTAATTTTATATTATAATAATGTAATTATAATGCTTCAGTAAACAATATAGCTTTATTATATTAATATAATATTAATATTGATATAATGAAGCTAAATACCGTTGACTGATACAATTATAAATGTATTATATTACTATTAAATACATTATTATATTATTTTAAAAATTCAAAACTGTATTATATTAATATAATATACTTTTAATGTGTACTTTTGTATAGTTATCATATTTTATTTTTGAAAAGGAAATGATGGAGAGAAAGCCAGGGATAGAAAAATGTCACTGGACTCGAACCTGCATCTTCCTCATGAGCACAACAACCCAACATGTTAAGCATATGCACTAAGCATTATGCCACGACTCAGGCATTCTAATATGCTTTGAATCACAACATGCAACAGATCTTACCTTTTTTGTTTATTTGTGAAAAGTGCAGCCTCTCCTGTTAAGGACAAACACGCTGCCTGCCTTTACCTGTCAAATCTCATCTTATCCTTTCCGTTACTTTTACTTTCCCACTATAAATGTATTTCCGTCTGGACCCACCCCTCCTTTCTCAGTTTCTTCTCTCAGCACCAGTACGGATATTTGCATACCTCTGTTCTTGGAAAGAAGGAGCAGGAGAGAGAGAGAATAATGACAGCAATTTCTTCCCTTTCTCGACTTGCTGGCTTCCGAGAGAGTGTCGTTTAGCGGCACCTGTGTTAGCGACAGGCGTGCGGATGAGAAGCGAAAGAGAGCAGTTGATTAAATCATCAAGTCGCAGCGGAGAAAGTCAATTCTGCTCACCATCTACAATGATATCCTTTTATCCTGACGTAATGAGCTATGGCACTTTTGCATTTGGTAATGCGATGAGTTCTATTAGCGCGTTCCATTTGCTTCACAAGCAAAGGCGAGTCATTTCGTTCCTCTCATATCTCCGCAATCAAAGTGCTGGCTGGGCGCGGGGAGCACTGACACGCCAGTGGAGATGCCGACGGTGTTTTTATGGATCACAACACATTGTAAAAAATACATTTTGCTCATTATTTTAACTCTTCACGAACCCTGTCTGGGCCAAATGAGGGAGAGCCCCAGGCCTTTAGGAAGGCTTCATGCAGTTGTGCATGTTAAATCGACCATTATGGCCCAGGACGGGGATATATTCAGGAAGCTTCAATAATATGATGCTGATTTTGTTTCATAGCATTTTTACTGTAATGTTAACAGTATTACCATGCTAGCACACACAAGAGCAGTAGGTTATTAACATCTGGTATGTGTGTGTTTATTGGTTATGTATAATGCATGAGCCCCGTATGTCTCGAATCCCGTTGGATTGGGGCTGTAAATTGGATGCTGCTCACCAGGCCCTGTATCAGGTCAGACGGGATACTTTCTCTCGCTCTGTCCCGTCCTCTCACTTTCTGTCCCTAGCACCCAGTCCTTGCAGGAATACAGCTCCCAGAACTGTCAATCATTCAGGGCTCCCACAGGGTTTAGTTCCGCTGGGTGTAATTATCCCCGAAGACCTTAGGCCCCGCCCCCTAGCAGGCCTTCATTAGGGAGTCCAAGTTCAAACCCTGAACGCATCTCCCCCAGCCAAGTCATCTGTGTGCTCGCTGCTAATTAGCAGATAGAGAATTAGGTGGACCTTGAAATTGAATTTGGTCAGAAAGGCTTAAATTCAGCATTTTAATATCATGCTATGTTTATTCATTTATTTGCCAGTTATTCATTGGCTTATTTTGCATGGAGACACCAATGCCTTCTGTTGTTTTGTCTTGCATTTGTTTTTTGTTTTGTGTTTTCCTTCAGAGTAACGTCTGTAATATTACACGTGTTTTTTTAGTGAATCAAAAACATACAGTGCGATCAGTGTAGCCCACTTCTGAAAACAAATGACTCTTATGAACTGGTTCTTTTTAATGAATCAAAAACATACAGTGTGACCAATGTAGCCCAATTCTGATAACAAATTATTCGTTTGAACTGGTTCTTTTTAGTGAATCAAAAACATACAGAGCTTCCAGTTTCGCCTGATTCATGAGCAAATTTTAAGTGGATCAAACACAAACAACATGACCAATGTAGCCTGATTGTGAAAACTAGTGACTCTTATGAACCGGTTTCTTTTTATTGTATCAGAAACATACAGTTTGACCAGTGTAGCCTGATTTTAAAAACAACTTTTTTTTTTACTGAATAAAAATCATGCAGTGTGACAGTATGACCTCTTTTTGGTGAATCTAAACAAGACCAATGTATTTGAAATATCAAAACAAATGTCACTTGCTGGTTCTTTTAATGAATAGTTCAAAATATGTTTTGTATCAATCTGAAACTGCCCTGTATAATTTACAACATTAGCAACAAAAGTTGAAAATATACTCACATGAATCAGAATCAAATCAGGAGCTTATGAATTGGCATTGATACCGAACCCAAAAGAATATATATATATATATATATATATATATATATATACAGTGGGTACGGAATCCCAAAAAGACTCATGGCTGTATTAGATCAAATGGGTGCTTCTACTAAATACTGAGCATTTTTCAGTTTTTCTTTTTTAATAAATCTGCAAAGATGTCAACAATTCTGTGTTTTTCTGTCAATATGGGGTGCTGTGTGTACATTAATGAGGAAAAAAAATTAACTTAAATGATTTTAGCAAATGGCTGCAATATAACAAAGAGTGAAAAATTTAAGGGGGTCTGAATACTTTCCGTACCCACTGTATATATATAATTAGTGTTATTTAACTGATGTTTAGTGTTTGGTATTTTTGACCAAAGTAATCAATTTACTGGATTTCAGGATTGATTTCAGGAGCAAAGTGCGATTGTTATTTCTGTAAACAATCAAACTCTCTGTACAGTAGAAGATTAAGCAGTGGCGTGAAAGCTGTATTTAGCTGCAGTGCGTCTGTGGCCTATGAGATGTGAAGATAGTTGGACTCGTACTCTAGTTGGTGTCGGGGGGAGAAAAAAACCCTGCTGGTGGTAATAAGCAGATGTAATGAGGCCTGGCCACTGAGTGACATAAGAACAGCCTTTTCCTGCTTAGACTGTTATTACTCTGCTGATGATCTGTGCAGTGTGAGACTGCTGAAATCAGATTTCCACTTCATAATAGCTTTATATTTAAAAGCAAGAAAAAAAGTTTCAGCTCCATCAGGTCTAGCAGATTCTGCACTGTTCTAATGTCTCCTTTTTCTTTGTCTTACAGTGTGACAGCGAGAGTGGCCAAGAAGACAAGGTAAGACTGTGCCTTATTATTTGTATTATTACAGAGCTTACAAGACCAGCACTGTATTGAAATCTCTGTATTTTATGTTTTGTTTTTTTGTTTTTACTTTACATTTAGGAATTCTTAATGTTGAAATGTGTGATTTTTTTTGTAATACTTTCTCTTATCCCAACATAATATGCAGAGACAACTACAAAACCCTGTTTCTACAGCGATTATATCACTGGAGGTCACTGACTCGCTGTGTGGTTTGTTTCTGGTAGTCGTTGCTGTTTTCAGGTGGCAGATCACTGTCTGCTCTCACATTGCATCGTATCAATGCTAGCTTGCATAAATCAATTGTTCTATTGCCTCTGGTAGCTTCTGATGGAAATGAATAATATTAATATTATATTATTATTATATTATAATTATTATGTATGTATTTATTTATATATTTATTTATTCATTAATTTAAATCTCCCTCTGACAGATTTAAAAAATAAATACATATTTATTTTTATTTAAGTGCTTTTCACAAATTCCAAGAACTGTTATTTCCTTCAGGAAATGCAAAGCTAGTTAGTAGTAGCAGCAGTAGTATTAGTGTTATTAATACCATGTTACATCATATAGCACTTCTAAAATTATCTTTATTATTTTTTTAATCAAACTTGAATCAATGAGAATCCATTATTAGACTCTACTTAAAAGTGTGTTTCTATTTAATTAGAATTACCATCTTTTTAATGACTGTGAGAAGGCCTTAATTAACTCTGCATTAATTATGAATGACTAAATGGTGTTCGAAATTTGAAAAGAACCATTACAAGTTTCACAAGTTACATTTTACACATATTAATGTGAAACAATTCCTTCAGATTTATTTAAAGTACAACCCACAGGACATACGGTATGATGATTTACATTAGGTGGAACTGAATTATTATATCAGTCATATTTATAGTGTAATTATAACAAAATGAGGCTATTGGATTTAATTTAACACTAGGCCCTAGGCTAAGTTTGATGCAAACTAGGCAAGCTACAAAAAGCTTGACAAGACACATCGCACCACTTATTTACTGTCTGCTGAACATCAGCATGATTACACGAAGATGTTGTTTTGTTCACTCTTTTTGATTGTTCCTCATTTGTTGTTTTAAACCAGTGGTGGTTTGATGACGACGAGTCGAATTAGCCATGTCAGTCAAAGCCCTTTTGTTGTGGCATGGCAGAGATGTGCGGCGTAAGACATTAATCGCTGTTTTGCTCGCTGCGTTTCTGCTTCTCATTATTCCTCTAATGATTTTCACAATATCATGTCATTCTCTCTGCATTTGATTAATTATGTGTCAAAACAATGGAAGGGTTTAGTAGGTAAACAAAGAAACAAGAGTGCTCTCTTTCAAACGCACACACATTCGCAAACACTTCAGAGGGATCTCTTTCTGTCAATAGCTCTTAAAATGTGTTTACAAAACCGTGAGCATGTTGAGCTGCGTTAGCAATAAGTGACAGATCCGTGATATTTTCACATGCCTTTTCTCTCTGGGAATGAATTCAGTAGCTCTTTCCTCTGCAATAGCAGTTACAGTACAGTATATATTCAGCAGCCGTAGGAGAGGACAACTTGTCACATTAATGGGTCAATTCTATTCATCCACAGACAAACTGTCTCTTTTTATTCTCCTCCGGCCCAAATCAGGAAATGAAAAAAGACACTCTGGAGAAATCACTTTCTGACTGCAAGAATGATAAGAATGAGGCTTCCCCCCATTTTTCCCTTAAATGACAGTACATGTTCATATTTCTTAACCCGGTTATCAAAATGCCCCACAGGAAGTGATGTCATAATTGTATTTCCTGTGACAGCTACAGTCAACATTCCATCACTAGTTCAATTGGCAAACCTCTAAGTAATATATATATATATATATAACATGGAGGCTTAACTCTTACAGTCTATTAAGAGATATAATAATATTTATAATAAGAATAATATTAATATTATTTTATTTATGTTATTATTTGTATTATTACTTAGTATAACAGTTTATTAATTAAATTTAGTGCAATCAAATATTTAATTTATAATTTTAATTACAAATTAAACATTTACTATTATGATATATATTCAATTAATCAATATATAAATTATAATATATAATTTAAATAATATATATTAGTTATACAATATTTTGAAATGGAGGTTTACTGTAAAAAATTATGTCCGCAATTATTCCTTTCATTCACTTTAGTTTACTCTGTAATAATGATGCATCAAATTCAGGTTTGATTAATTAGTATAATTGTTGGAATGATGTTTTAATAATTTTATTATAAAATAATTATGTTAAAGTAAATGCTAATGAAGCTACCAAATAGCTGTTTTTCTTTGTCAAAAGGGAATGTTTAATGTTAATGGAAAGAAGTGTGTGTGTGTGTGTGTGTGTGTGTGTGTGTTTGAATGTGTTGCATGAAGTGTGAGAGTGTTTAATGGCCTTTTGACATCTCGTTTGTGTTAGCTGGAGCAGAGCGGGATTTATTAAATGATACAGTCTGTACACTGTTCATCATGTGGGCAGGCCTATTCCAACTGGAACGTGGCCCTAGTCCTGCTGTCTGCCCTCTCTGGCTCACTCTCGTCTCACTCTCCCTCTCCTGCTGCTGGATGAATTGGCAGCATGCAGGCCGAACAGGGTCCAGAATGCTCTGAAAGCATTTGGCTGGCCCTGGCAACTGTGGCTGGCCTCCACCTTCCAGACTTTTGGCTCCGCTTCGGTCCCTGGATGCCCCTGTTACTTTCGTTCTCTCTCTCTCTCTCTCTCTCCTTACCTCGGTGTGCCAGGGATCTTGTTCTCAGCTCTCCCCACAACCTGCTCACCCACCAAACCCCAGGCCTCCGCCCCCTGCCCTGATTTGTGTGCAGAAGAAGTGTCTGTTATTAGAGAGAGCAGGTAGGACCCTGTCTTCTCATTACCAGCCGCTCAAGGGGGATTATTATGTCTGCTGTGGCTGGCAGAGAGAGAGCGTGAGAGATTCCACCACCTGACGGGCTGTTTGATGTTCTGCAGCTGCAATAACGTCCCCTTTTCATGGCGCAGTTAACACTAACAGGTCTGCGCCATCTGAGAGTGTTTAAAGACCGGTGAGGCTCAAGTGAATCTGTGCCGACTTTAGCCAGCAATAAATCAGCACATGTGCTCAGGCTTAGTGCCTCTCTACCCTCAGAATCCCTCCATGGTGCAGTGGGCTACATATGTGCTCTTGACAAATAAGCCATTGCAGGTTCAGGTTTAAGTATGACCAGCATCATGTCTCTGTCTCATTTTACTAATCTGATAATGTAAAGCTTGATTTTCATGTAAACAATAAGGAGAAGTATATGTGTGTGTTTGTGTTTACATCGATATTTACTAGAAATATAATTACATTTCCATGAAATATTTTCTGTAAATTTTTATTCACACATATAGATGAATTTGTACTAGAAATAGTATTTATAATTTTCATTAAATGTTTTCTTTATTTTTTATTTTTTTACTCGTGGATGGGTGGATAGATATTTACTAGAAAAAATATTTATATTTACTAGAAAAAATATTTATAATTTTGATTAAATGTTTTCTTTACATTTTTATTCATGGATCTATGGGTGGATGGATAGATATTTACTAGAAATAATATTTATAATTATGTTTTATTTTTCTTTATTTTTTAATTCACACATGATATGATATACAGGTGCATCTCAATAAATTAGAATGTCATGGAAAAGTTCATTTATTTCAGTAATTCAACTCAAATTGTGACACTCGTGTATTAAATTTTAAACCACTTTAAAATCACAACATAAGCATTACTATCTTGAAGCGTCATGTTTAATGCTAAAACCCATTAAATACACAACTGAAACGGTTGAGAACACAAAGCATGCTGCAAAAAGGTTTTATGTGTATGTAACAAAGTTCGTAATCACGGGAAGAAGGAGGCGGGAATCGGCGAACATTTAAACACTTTAATAAAATAAACAAACACAAAATGAAAGTAATGTGGCAGCCCCTCGCGGACGACTGCCGCACACAAAACACAAAATAAAATACAGGCCTGGTCCTCTCTCGTCCAACACTGTCGTCACTCCTCCTTTTATCCTTCCGGAGCTCCTCCGTGGGACTCGAGACCGGTGAGTGGCGCAGGTGTCGCGCATTAGCATTTACTCCACCGGCCTCGCTCGGTTCCCACGGCTCTCGGCCCCACTCCTTTCGTCACAGTGTACTAATCAATTATCAGCCCATTACCTTTAAGAGGTAGATAGAGATGACAAATTGCACAAGCATGGACCGATTAATCTTAAGTACCTTTAAAGCATCCCACCTTTGGCTCGAAATTAACGTCCTCTTGCGTTTTAATGCACTTGATGAGGCCTTAAAAGGGAAAATAAGAGGACCTTTATCGCTGAACTCTTTTAACACCCCTCGCCCCCTCGCTCTTTTCGCAGACCCTTCATTCCTACCTACATATCTTCCCCCCATCTGTGTGTGGCCAAGGGCAGAGGACGCCATTTGAAAGCAGTTGCAGATTTATTAGCGGCTCTGCGTCAGCGAAGTGCTGTAATTTCACTCGCTCGCCTCTCATTTGAGACCTGCACTTTTAAGAAAACGTGAAGTCCTTGACGCAAAACCATGATCATATATATATATATATACGTAAACGCCCGGCTTCCTATTCTCTGTTTTTTTTCCCTCATCTGCCTCTTCTCTTTTCGTCTTCTGACGATGTTTACCCTGAGGCGGTTGGAGGAGGAGGAGAGGCGCATTAGTTTCTCCATCACTCAGCCGGAGCACTGGCATATACATTTTTCTTTTTTTTTTATCTCCTCGCCACACTACCGCACGGTGAAACGGGGTGGGTAATAAAACTCCGCGAGCGAGTTGTCAGCGGTAAAAGATTATGTGTTTTGCCCTCCCTGCATCTGAAAAAAGGAGGGAGGACGGGATGGGGAGCGAGCAGAGGGGTGTTTACAGGCT